TGCCCTTTCCTGCCTCCGCCCCCTCTTCCCTCCGGGGCTGATCAGCTGCGCCCGCCGCCCCCACCCCCGAACTCGGGCCTCCGGGGCTCTCTGCCGCGGGGTCTTGGAGCTCCGGAGTTTACGGAAAATAAGCTGAGCGGGGTGGTAGCTGGGGCCCGGTGGGACTCGGAAAACACGTCCTGCTCCCCGGGAAGGTCTGTGTCTGCACACGCAGGCTTAGAGGCGCACAGCTCTCCTGCCATTACGTCTGTCGGCGAGCAGTTCCTCCCCGGAGCAACCGCCGGCTCCCAACTCTTCCTCGCGCTTTTAATCTTGTCGCTCCCATCCCCCCTTTTCCCTTTCGCGACTCCCTTTCCTTTAAAATAGTTCTATGCACCCCCGAGCTGGGACTAGGGAAAGGAAGTAAGTGTTTGGAGAGTCAGAGCTGCTGCTTGCTGTTCGGGAGGTTTTCTCCTTTTTTCTCTCCCTCTGTATTTATCTTTTGTGTGTCGCTTCCTTATAAAGAGAGAAGCAGCTGCAGCCCTTGGCCGAGTTGTTGAAATTTATCCCTTTGTGTATATTACAATATCCTCCATTTTTTTTTCCCCTGCCCGCTAAACAACAAGCGTTTCGCCATCTTGGGCATTTTTTATTCCCAAGTCTTTATTTTTTTATTTTTTGAGGAAAGGAAAGAACCCTTACAAAGGCAGAAAGTGTGTCTCGTTAAGACTCAAAGTTTAAGGAATGTTCAGGGGGCCCAGTGACGTCATGTAAACTTTATGAAGAAATTTTTCCAAGAGTACATTTTTCGCTTGATTTTTTTCTCGTTTTAAAGGATCGTGTAACTGCTGGTGAACGATAAGTTGTGCTGCTTATTTTTGTGTTTTGCTCTAAAAATGAACCCTTAGCGTCTACACAATTTATGTTTTGGTAACAGGTGGAAAATTATGTATAAAAAATGGTATGAACTTTTATGAGTCTAAGTGTCATTTGGTATTAACTTACTTCTTGTCTGCGTGTTCTTTATTTAAATGTTGCAAATGTTATTTTTGAAAAGCATATTCCCTCTCGTTTACTCCACTCTGCTGTGGATTTTTCTTTAATCAGCTTGGCTAGTATTTTACCTATGCTTATTTTACATAACCCAGATTTCCCTTTTTAACTAAATGTTCTGTTTTTCTTAATATTTCTCTACATATTGAAAAAGATAAAAATACTGTATACTTTTAAATTTTACTAGCAGGTATTAAGTAAACAAAAATGTAGTTTTTAAAAGGCAGAATTGATTTTAAAATATATTTTATGACCTCAAGTTGTAAGCTTTTTGTCAGCCATTAGGAAAATATAATAAAAATCAGTATTTTAATTTGCTTGTCTAAAATAGTTTTTCACCTCCAGAAGTTCGGTTGGTCACATGACCAAACTTAATGATACACTGACTGGTATATAAATAAGAGGCACTGTAAATTGAATGGGAAAGTGGAATTCTGTCTCCTATAGTCATTTTCATTCAGCATATTTACTTCTCTTCTAACAAGGACATGAAACTGTCTGTATTTAATTTGCATTCTCTTTGTCTTCTGGGTTGGTGCAAAACATTGACTGCAATTAACTAAAAAAAAAGCTAATAGAAACAGTTTTGAATACATTGAAAAGGTTTGTCTAACACATAAAAACTTAAGTTGTATGTGGTATGTTTTTATCTCTGTAGCAGTCTTTGGTGTTATCTGCTATGCTCTTTATCTAGGAATTTGCTTTATGTAGAATGCTATATAGAAAGCTTGACTGAATTGAATGTCTGCTATTTATGTGCATTGTAGGTAGGTGAAAAATGTTTAAATAGTTAAAAGCACATAGAACAGATGGTTCTAAATTATACATGCAACAAAGGACTAGAAGATTTGGCAGATTATAAATGGCAAGCAACAAGAGGATAAGCAGTTTAAGAAAATGGTAGCTAAGTACATTTGATGTCTCACACCTATTGTAAACACTACGTATCGTCACTGTGCTGCATAATCAATATTTTGGACAATAGTGAGGTACTTGTAAGTTTCAGATAGAAAAGAGGTTAAGATTTTACAAATATTTGAAATGAATAGTGAAATGTAAAATTATTTTAAACCAATGATGACAAATAAGTTTTTTTTTAGGAAATCAACCTGTTTTAAAGACAAGTTATTTCTGAGAACTTAATATTACTGTATTAATACAAGATTTGGAGAGAAGCAGGAGTAGGTACATATTTTTAAATGAATAGTTTTTTACTCTTCTCACATGTTAAACTAGTGCTGAACTGTGGCAGCATTTACTCTTTCAAACACTACCAAAAGCATTTTTAGACTCTTCAGTCTTAGAAATCTATTTATGGGATACTGCTGGCATAATTTACTAAATACTTATTAAGTGAAGGAAGGATATATTTTAGTATTAATTTTTGAGTTTTGTATATTTAATGATTTACTTGGAGAATATAGTATTCTCAATTTTAAAAATAAGATTTTTATGTAGTTTTTGCCTTTCTAGAAGAATCTGAGTAATTATATTTAGCATTTTCAGAAGATTTAGAATAACTTAAAAGTATTCAACTTGGCAGGAATTTGTTTTTATTCTTATAAGTCATTTATTTAAAATGCATATGACTATAATGGAAATCTTGGAATTTTAATACTGTTGCCCTTTCTCCCATTTCTTTGTTTGCATGTTTATTATAGAACTGCAGTGTAAAGGAGCAGATGTTTTGCCAAACATCCTGATGTGTTGCTTTTTCTTATGGGAGTGCATAACTGTTCCTTCTGATGCATCAACTTGACAGCTGGTTGATTTCATGGAGCTGCTAAGAAGCCATTAGTGGTGTCATTGAATTGAAACAGAACAGTCACTCCCAGCTTGAACTGCAATTGTTAATGTCTTTGTTGCTACTTTTGTGTTACTATACACGATGTAGGATATCACAGTTGCATGAAAGTTCATGTGTTCTGTCTTACCTCCTTGAATTAGTGAAAGTGTTAGAACTTGATTACTGTTAACGTTTAAAGATTTCTCAAAGAGGTTTTAAGTTGTAGTTTCTGAGTTTTTGACCTAGTCCTAGCTAGAACAACCAAAAGAAGTGATTTAGCACAAAATATCATAGTAATTTTGACCCCTAGCTGAAATTATGTCCTCAAGGTTTAATGATTTTTAATATACCTGGTATCCTGAGGGATTAATTAAACTATGTAGTTAGGTATTTTAAGAGGTTTTTGGTTATATGAAATTAAGTATTTCATACCATGAGCTTTTAAAAATATTGTGCTTTGTTTAATAAATGTTGACTCACTTGATTAATCACTTTTTTGAACTTTAGTTGCAGAAGATAATCAGAAGAAAAAATAGTGAGGAGCTGGGCAATTTTGGGTTTAATTTTCTTAATAAGGAGGTGAAGATACTAAGTAGTCAACTGGTATTCATTTAATTACTTGAAAAATTGAAAGTACAGGTTTATTAGTAACTTTTATTGTTAATTTCAACTATCAAACTGTAGTACTAAAATGGTGTCAAATCATCCTATTGGTACCTATTTTCTACTTTTTCTAATTATTTGCTGCTTTTTTTTTTTTGATGGGAAAGAAGGAGGAAGGAGGAAAGAGAAGAGTGATAATTCCAAAAGACAAAAACACATTTTTAAAAAATGTATATAAAAAAATCTTTAGGATGATGTTTAAGTATATAATGTAGCTTACCACTATGTTTGAGATCTTTTCTAGTTCTAATACTTACTGATTTTTAATTCTTAAATCATTAAGCATTTAAACAATTTTTCAGAGCATAAAATTTTTAACTATTGTTTTGAATACTATGTGGCAAGTCATCATACACTTTGAGATGTAAATTATTTAATAGTCCTCTTATTTGTAAGTTAAACATTGAGTTTTAAAAATGAATAGACTTTTTAAAAAAATGAATAGGCTTTTATAGGTATGAAGTGAAATACATTTTTTAATCCCACATAGTTAAAAATAACATGTTTTCAATTAAAAGAAGTTTGCGTTTAAAAATATACTTAAAATGTGAAATTGATTATTATAATAATACTTTGCTGAGTTAAATCCCACTAAAAGGACTTCCTATACATATAAACAGATTTTTAAACACTTAAAACACACTGCTTGAGTGCTTTACAGAATTATAATTTCCTGAAATCCTGTCTGTAGAGATGCTTTCCTTTTAAATAGATCATACATTACTAAGACTAAAGCTAAAATTTATATTCAAGTAATGTGCTTTTTCAACCCTTTCTATATCAGTCATACAATTCCTTAAAAAGAAAATCATTCTATTGCCATAGTCTGCTTCAATTTTTAATACATTTACTCATAACATAGTTGTCAAAGCACATATCCATATAAACTAAGCTGTGGTAAATTGAGTTGTATGTTAAAT